GATTTCAATCATCAGCTTCAAATAATCCGGTATCGCCTCCTCGGACAGAATTCCCTTGAGTCGCTCCGCAGTCGGTGAAGTGGATTGAAGGGGAGAGCTGGCTTCAAATCGCCCACGCTTTACTGGTACCGATGACGAGCGAAATGGGGACGCCATAGATCAACTGACAGCCAGATCAATAATCAGGGGGACAGCGACTCAGAAAATATCAGTGGAATAACAGAATACAGATGAAGGTGGTTTTCCGGGACAGTGGAAAACTGGACGAGGGAAAGCAGGGCTGCAGACGAAGGAACACGGATGAAAGCAGAATAAACGGCCCAAAAAGCGAGAATAATAGGGATTGAGGGATTGATAGGCAGAGGTGGATTACGGGCCGGCCGCTCACTGTCAACGCAGGGACAAGAATGTTTTTGCAAAGGGTGATAAGATAGGGCCTTCAGCACTCTAATCGGAATCTTGTAGAGCTTTTCCCAATTTTTTTTCTCATTACCTTGATCAAGACTTTACTTTCTTTTCCATAAATTCATACTGAAGCAGCTTTTTTTCGTCGTCCTCTTTCGTGCAGTAAACTTCGTGCAATTTCAGATCCCTACTAAATCCGAAAGGCAATATCGCTAGCCAGGAATTAGAGAGCGGAGTCACAGGTGCGATAAGGTGAGAATGACTTCCCCAGGGTGAAGGGGGTCACAGTCGTCGCAGTCCCTTCAGGGTGAAGGGTGTTTCAGTTGGTCGAGAAATCATATGCCGACCGGGGGGGGGGGGGGGAAGGGGAGAAGGCGATGGTGTTTTCTTATTTTCCAAATCAAAGTTTATCAATTTGAATTCTCTGTCATCACTGGTTGCCTTTTTACCAAAATGTGAAGACTGATAGGTTGGAACAACCCTATATGTTTTCAAAAATACCATAGAAGATGTGTATGCGAGAACATCTGTTTCGAGAAAGAGGTAGACATTTTTTAAGCATCTACGAATTTTCAAAGAAGAAATTCGTAACTTCTGTAGGAACAGCAACGTCAGCATTGAAAAGGTTTTTATAACCATATTGTCCTCCGCTTTCAGAAAATATAATGAACGTCTGATATCTATTCAAGAAAGTGCAGTGAACGGTTTGCCTAGTGATTTTTGGGGATTTTTGATTTTTTAACATAAAAAAATTCATAACTTCTGCTGATGAACACATATTGTACGCCGTGATGGTCACCATTAGAACCGTCTCCTCCTACGCTTTCAGAAAGTGTATACTTTGCCTGGGGTCCGTTGAAAAAAGTGCTTGGGTGAAGGGTGTCCTAGTGATTGCTGAAGATTTTCAAGTTTTTAACATAAAAAAATACATAACTTCTGTAGATGAACATCTCGTACGCCGTTATGGTCACCATTTGAACCGTCTCGTCTTTCGCTTCCAGAAAATATACACTTTGCCTGGGGTTCATTCATTAGAAAAAATGCCGGGTGAAGGGTGGGTGAGACTTTTATAATGGAAGTGCTCAAGTACAGGCTTTTTTACCATTGTAAAAAGACGTCTACTTGAGCACTCCCATTATAAAAGTCTCACCCACCCTTCACTCGGCACTTTTTCTAAGAACCCCAGGCAAGATATATATTTTCTAAAAGCGGAGGACGAGGCGCTTCTAATGGCGACCATCTCGGCGTACAAGATGTTCATCTACAGAAGTTATGAAATTTTTTTCGCTAAAAACTTGGAAATCTCCAGCAATCACTAGGACACCCTTCACCCAGGCACTTTTTTCAATGGTCCCCAGGCAAAGTATATATTTTCTGAAAGCGAAGGATGAGACGGTTCCAGTGGTGACCATCTCGGCGTACAAGATGTTCATCTACAGAAGTTATGAAATTTTTTTCGCTAAAAACTTGGAAATCTCCAGCAATCACTAGGACACCCTTCACCCAGGCACTTTTTTCAATGGTCCCCAGGCAAAGTATATATTTTCTGAAAGCGAAGGATGAGACGGTTCCAGTGGTGACCATCTCGGCGTACAATATGTTCATCATCAGAAGTTATGAATTTTTTTACGTTAAAAAACCAAAAATCCCCAAAAATTACTAGGCAAACTGTTCACTGCACTTTCTTGAATGGATATCAGACGTTCTATTAGGTTGTCCGGAAATCAATGCTCGTTTTGAATTTCAACCGCAAAAAGTCATACACGTCTCTCTTCTAAATGGGTTGCAAAGTACCATTCGATAGAGCAAAGCAATCTCTACAAGATGGCTATCTTGCTTTAGCATCAGCTCTGATCCACCACGAGTTTCGAGCCAAAAACTGAAAAGATTCAACTGCCCGAAAAATCGAGAAAAATCGTAACTCAGTTCGTAAAAATCCTACAAAAATTCTAACTTGCTCACGTAAACACTATCCACATAAAACATCTATATACGCCGTTGCCGTATTTTTTTTCTCTGTTAAAAATCGAGAAAACGGAAATTTTTGTGCGTTTGCCAAAGTGGTGCTGTGCCGTTTCCACATAGGTGGTAGTATACCACAGACCTTTAGACGTACAAATGTAAATTTCTAGCTCTCTACAAGCTTTAGTTCGCGAGAAATTTGAATTTTAGCTTGGACCACATGACTAGGGAAAACTGTATTCGATATTTCTCGAGAACTAAAGCTTGTAGAGAGCTGGAAATTTACGTTTGTACTTCTAAAGGTCTGTAGTATACTACTACCTATGTGGGAACGGCACAGCATCACTTTGGCAAATGCACGAAAATTTCCGTTTTCTTGATTTCTATTCTAACAGAGGAAAAAATATGGCAAAGACGTATATAGATGTTTTATGTGGATAATGTTTACGTGAGCAAGTTAGAATTTTTGTAGGATTTTTACGAACTAAGTTACGATTTTTCTCAGTTTTTCCGGCAGTTGAATCATTTTAGTTTTTGGCTCGAAACTCGTGGTGGATTAGAGCTGTTGCAAAAGCAAGATGGCCTTCTTGTAGAGCTTGCTTTGCTCTATCGAATGGTACTTTGCAACCCATTTAGAAGAGAGACGTGTATGACTTTTTGCGGTTGAAATTCAAAACGAGCATTAATTTCCGGACAACCTAATATATACTTTCTGAAAGCGGAGGACGAGGCAGTTCCAATGGTGATCGTCGCGGCGTACAACATGTTCAAGTACAGAAGTTATGAATTTTTTTATGTTAAAAACTCGAAAATCTCCAGAAATCATTACTCACACCCGTCAGCCCTTTTTTCAACAGACTTTTCCTTTCCTATACATAAACAATTCACGTACAAATATCTCCTGCTTAACCTTACCTCACTGTTGATTATTCTTCTCGGCTTTTGGTGAAGGGGGTCACCTTGGTCCCTGCTTAGGGGTGAAGGGAGGGTGAGAAAATTCTCACACTATCGCACCTGTGAGCGGAGTTGCAAAAAGACACGCGACGCGGTTTGTGGTGAACCATACTATAGTATGGAAGTATACAGTAGACTTGCTGAGTTTTTGTCCGCTTCATCCCTAAGAAAAGAATTGAAAAGGATGATTTTAGAACAATGATAATCATTTGTACGAAGAGGAGAGTTACCAGGATAAAAATATGCGTTGTGGGAGGAAGAGTTTATGTTTATGTATGCACTCGTGGTGCGCCAAAACAACTTGACATATATCAGTAATGAAAGAAATGTCCCTGCCACACTTCCACATTCCAAGCCAAGACACAGGTACAGTCATTAAGACCGCAAATGAGATCCGCTTGTATTAAGAAGAATATTCCATGCTTCCTGTAAATACAGATGCTTAGCATTTGGGGAATGCTATTGCCCTAAGAATAAGTTGAACTTCGAGGGCCAGCCTTGTTCACGTTAGGTATCCATCAACCTAACAGACCAGTTTTAGATACACCTGTAATTGGATCAAGCAAAAGCTGAAAGTCAAACGTGACTAAGTTTCTCTCCCATAAGAGTTGAACTGTCTTTCTGTCTTTAGCCCGTGTAGTTTGCTGATGAACTCCGAAAAACAGCATGAATTTTTGGTGAATTGATTTTCAGCAAAAAGGTCCATAGAGCTTTCATTGTCAAACGTCTGCATATACATATTAATGATCTTTGTTGTGATCAAAAACGAAGTGACACCAATTGCAATCTATATTAACGATGCAACCTGCAATTTTCAGTGATAGAGTCTGTGTAATTGCCACTCACACTGTTTATTGGTTCAACCCATAAAAATTGACATCGCCTTGGAATTGGCGGCTTTATCGCTCAAACGCTGTTATCTCCCATAATTCATAAATTCTTGACAGATTCAACATCATCATGCATTTGTTCTGTGAGGATCCTCTAAAGAAATCTCGCAATATATTTTGCAGCATAAAAGTTTCGCGTCAAGCGAGATTAACAAGCAGTTACTCCCTATATCGAAGGCTAGGAATGCAGGCCAAGATTTCTAATTTTCGCTGATTGTGACTATAGATCAAAGTTCTGTCGCGTCACTCAACAGAAGCTTTTACGAGATGGAAACAGTCAGCATGTTGGCTTCTGCGTTACTACTTACTGTATGTTTCTTGATGTGACTTATGTTTTCTAACAAAAAATTCAAGTTTGGACTGCCGGCTCTATACTTCAATATGCTCTTGGTGCTTCCCACTTTTAGTACTATCAAACCATTCGAGCTCATTTGTGCTTGCCACGCTATCGGCAACTTAGTAGTCACTGCTGCTATGGTGTTCTGTCTAACACCGATGATATTCTTGTATGTTCACTGAATAAGTTTCCTCATCTTGTCGTTCAGCTAATCTTTTTCCAGCAACTGGAACAACAACTTCTTCTTAAGAATAAGTGGAAGTGCAGATCGATATGGCTTTTTCTTGTTACACTTAACGCAGATTACGCTGGGTGAGGGATTTTCAAAACAAAGTAAAAAGATGAGCACTGTAGAACACCTAATTACAGCAGCAAACCGCTTCATGGCCATTCACTGCGCAAAGCAGTACGGTGTCATTTTTTCAACTGCAAACACAAGGAAGATTTTGGTCATGCTTGTAGTCTGCTTATCGCCATTTTTCTTCATGGGTCTATTCGGTAAGAATCTATTATTAGATTTGCAAAAATTACCCTGTCGCATCATTCGCGTAAACTCGGACTCAAAAAGCGGGTCCTGTACAAGCGGGAAAAACGCGAAGATAAAAAAATCAGATTTGCAAAAATTCTGTGCGTCCATCAATAATCTTCTGCGATATAAAATGGACAAATGCTTCACTAATACTGTAAACTGTGCCGCTGCGACTTCTTGGGCTCAACATATTAGCCAATGCTTGATTGCTATACGCTGTAAGCTCCAAACTAGGCGCTCGTCTAGTGTGCACCATTTGGGGGTCAACGAAGTCGAAACCTATAAAGTCGATCAATTCAACTAATGCTACCAGCAAATAGATTAATAACTTTGTATGCATAATATACTTACACAAGAAGTACTGATCATAAAGGACAGGAATTACCACTACTTAAGAGAGAAATAGGAAACGTAATGCCGTCTCTGATGCTGTCCTTGTCCACGTCCTTCAGGCTCAGTCTCATAAGCATTCAATGTTCGCCAGGTCCTACTACATAGTCGCCTTATCTCGTCTAGCGGGCGACCCACACTTTTGATATTGTTCCCCATCTATCATCAAAGTAAGCTCATGCGCACCTGGCATATTTGACCACATCAGAGGTATATACTCAATTGTTACATCAAGATCGAGAGAGCTACATCATATGCTTCATTAGGAGCGTCGACAGCAAACAAGCACCTCTATAACTAGTCGAAAATGAAGAATTCTGGAAGAGGCATATGCCGCTCTTCGCGAGCCCAGGCAGGAAAGTTCTAGCCTCAGATACATTCGCGACCTAGCAGCCCTTAACAGCTGTTGCAGAGCCGCGATCAGGCAAATTTACTTAAGCTTCTTCTGTGAGCATTGTTTGAGAGGCCTTAACCGAGTTAGTGCAAAGAGCAATTTATGTTATTCAACCTTTGAATTTTCTGCTTCTTCCAAAATGACCAATTACCGTCCTCGAGCACGATACTGGGCGAGCGATCGTAGAAACTGCGGCTTGCAGGCAACATCTGGGCAATATGACACAGGAGATCTTTAACGGATCTCTACATGGAAATTGAGTATGTGCCTTACGAAAGTATTGGCAAAGCAACGCAACGGCAGCTCACCATTTAACCTGTTCCCAGTACCGTATTTACCAATCTTTGAAGTAAAAATGCGCTGTCCATTTCGTACCCAAATCCAATCCATCTGATACTGCACAAGAATCTCAAAATTTCCGGCGTCTACTTTTTAGCATAATTGACGGGTTTTAGAGGAATGTGCATTCTACTTCGTTTTGGAAACATTGCAGTTTACATTTGGAATGACTCAGTGTGGAACATTATTTGTCACACACTTCGACTTTTATTTTACTGCAGCAATTTTTGCTGCTAGTAGCTCACTTGATCTCCTCACTGCTCTTGGCATATATCGCTATTCTCAGGTAAGCATGTGAGTGAACAATTCACCATTGTCTTACAATGGCTTTGTAATAAAATATCATACCGCTGTTTTAGGACAACGTCCTCAGTGCTAGACAATTTAGCAATAGCGACGTCATTTTCTTCTTACAGGTAGCGTTAACTACATGGTTCATTGTCATGATTATGCATGTCCATTACAAATTATGGCTAAGTAGCGTCTTAAAAAGTGGCAACTTTTACGCTTCCTATTTCCCCTTGCGGAATTTCTGTTGGGTCTTTCCGGAATTTCCGTTTTTTTCTTCGACTCATCATAACACACGTGAAATGAAGGCAGCCAAGCGTTTTAAACATTAATCGACGCACCTTTTCTTCCCCTTTTCATGATTCTGAGCTTATTGCCTTCGTGATCACTGCGCTGAAATGTATGGTCTTTATCATGCCCAAGTTTAACAAATTGTTTTTTTTGAAATTTCATTCTAAACTTTTGGAAAACTTTGACAGGAGACGGATAAAGTAAGCTGAGCTCAATGCACCGCTTTTTGGATGTCTCCAACCAGCTCTTCAATTACTTTCAAAATAATTTCCAATTTCTCTAGCAGCCTTCACCTTCTGAGAAGTGGTGTCATACAGAGATGCACGCAACTGGGAAATTCTGCAAATCTGAAACTTCAGTACTTTTGATATATGATTCGATAGTGCTTAAAGGTTTACAGCAACTGTGATCATGCGAAATTTGAGACCAAATCCAAAAAAATTCACTGCCCAGATAGGAAAAATTATAACTCCGCTTCAAAGAACCATGCAACTGCAACTTGCGCAAAGAATATACTCTTTGCATTAGACATTCTAGCCACTAACATCGGCTTGAAGTCGGGAGAACGAAAATTGCCTTACTTACGCCAATGTGATGCTAAGCCGCCTATTGATACTTTTAATCGGTTCTTTATGCCAATTTCAATGCACATATTTACTTTTGTACTTCTAAAGGCTTGTAGTATACAAATGATGTGAGAAAAGCCTAACATGGATTTTACAAAAACATGAAAGGCTTCTCTCTCGATTTCTGGCAGAGAAAAAAATTACACAACTGCATATATAAACGTCTGATATGGATTGTTTATGCATAAGAGTGTAACAATTTCCATAACATTTTCAAGCAAGGTGTGAATTTTTCAAAAGCTTTTTTCGGCTTTTCGGGCGCTCGGATTTTTTGAAGTTTTTCTTTTCAAACTGCGCGGGGATAGAAGTTAGTGCAAACCTTTGAAATCTTGTAGAGCTAGCTTTACTTTATCGAATGTATATCTATAATGTATAGTACAATATATCAAAACCTACCTGGGATACAGGAGAAGTATGAAATATCACACTTTATACCTATTTTGACCAAAGACTTAAGTTCAACTAAATACAAACATTTTGCTACACACTTTCATCTGTACTGACATAGTGGGACAAACAATCGTTTGAAAAACAAGAATTAACAGGGGGTGACCTGTTCCGAAAGGGGGTGGCCGCACGCGGACATCTGCAACAGACCATGCAGACATGCATATTAAAGGCAGTACAGATGCGTCAGCATTCCGCGCGGAGCTTATTGGCGACAAATAGTCCCCTGCCCCTCCTTAAAGGCAGTGTCCCGCCAGGTTTTGCATCTCCATCTTTCTGCATGTTTTAGGTCTTTTCGACCCGTAGAACCCGAATTTGAGCTTTAAACCGGGTGAAAAGACCGTTTTCGAGGCATTTATCCAAGTTCCAAAAGGCAGCTCAAACGAGGATTTCGATGGAAAGTTGGCAGGCCCTGGCACGAAGACCCTGCTGCCTGTAATTTTTGCTTTGAATAGCATGCACGATGCGGGAAAGCGGTCGTGGGGTCCCGCGCCGAACGATAAGCGAGATCGTCCGAGCGCGCGCCGGTTCAAGGCTATTTTCTTGGCCCAGAGGGAAAATCAGATCGACCAGAAACCCCACCACATTTATATTCCTCAAGGCGCGAATGTGCCGAGACACTGCCTTCAAAGCGGTACGGAACTATATGTCGCCAAAAGTGGGAGATGCCGCCGAGCATCTACAACAAATATACATTCCAGTACACATGCACAGGCTGAGTACCTGCTGCCTTGTCCATGCAAGACCCTCCCACTTTCGGCGACAGTTTCCTACTCCCTTCAAAGGCAGCGTCCATGCAGCTACAGCGCAAAATGACTCATTAACGGTTGAGATATACGCCTCCAAAAGAGACCCCAGGTTCGTACTTCGCATGGATTTATGGCGCAACCCATAAGTTTGCGCGAGGATCCACGCGATACTAATAGGTTGCGCCATGAATCCATGCGTAATACAATATTGGTGTCCACTTTCGAGGGGAATACCTCAGCCGTTAGAGTAATACATGAGCTGCCGCGTGGGCAGTTCTTAGTTAGGGCCCCAAAATTACTTTCCACGTAATATCCCCATAGGTCCAGATTTGCCTGGACGCTGCCTTTAAGCTTTGCTATCAAAACTGGTGGTTGCTTACTTTATTTGTGTGCTCAAGCCTTAATAAAAATCACTACTCTTTGAAGGAAACTCTCTGATATCATGCTTGGTTCAGCGTGCGGTACCGTCGTAATACTGTACAGTCTTCGGGACATGGTGGTCGAAGCAGCGGTTAACCGTCTTCAAATCCCGGATTTCTTAAAGTTTATCATATGAAAGAGCTAGAATGTCTAGAAGTTAATAAGACGTGTTTGCTCAAAATAACAACTAGTTGCTAAGCTGTTTGTAAAAGTTCGTTGAAAAAGGCTCTTTTAATTGCTTAGAAACATACATTAACTCTGCACAGCTGGATAGTTGTGCAGAGTAAATAAAGACCACAAATTTCTCGCTTTTTTTGCGAGAATTTAGCGCTGACACTTACAAGGTTGGTTTTTAACGGCCCAACAGCCATCTTAAAAAGGTACGCTAGGAATTCAAATGTTATCCCCAGACACTTGCTTTCAGTGCTGTGCATCCAACGCTACACTGATTGTAGGTTTTCTTCTCATTTATTATTTACATGCAATATGTCATGATCGTCTTGGTGCTTTCCTAACGACTACATTTATTATGCAAGTCACTCACTTCTTAGACGGGTAAGTACGTTTCGCTGCTATCATATGAGACAACGTTGAATTTTAGGATGGCCGTCGTGTTACTAAATCGTAATATACGTGCCAATATTTTCACACCGCACAAGCTTCTACAATCGCAAAACACTTCTGTACATCGCTGGTCAACATAGAGTCATCCCTACCTTGGGCGGTAGAAATTGGTAAATTCTTTCCGTTTTTCGTACATTTATGGAGGTAAAAAAATTAAGAACAATTTTATCCAGCTCTTTGCGTACGGGCTATGGCTATGAACACTAAAAATCATCTGCCAACGAAAAGAAAATAAGTGGAGACGGTGTGACGCGACGGGGTGGTTCAGACTACATTCACACCAGATGACTATGGAATGCGTGTCGAAAGGCGACGACTGGCGAATACAAATCAGCTGGCTTCAGCGTTCTGAATTGCTCTGTTATTAATCCTTTTCGCGTTTCTGTGGCAAGTATAGGGTGGTTTTGAAAAATCGTGACGATGGCGCAAGCGCGCGCGACACGCACGCACTTACGGCAACCGCTTTTTTTGGATTTCTAATGGCTTTTGTTTACGCATGATAGTGTTTGAAAACTAATATTGAATGAGCTGAGCGTTGAGATTATGTTTTTTGTATGAGTGTTTTATGCTTCTGTGGGCGCAAAGACAGCAGTCAAATCCGTCGTCACGGTCATATAAATGTCCTATAAAATATTTCGTCATCTGTCTCACAGCTACTATAGCATCTATATAAGCCCTCGTGCACATTTTTGTTATTCCCTACATTCAAAATTTCTTCACAACTCGAAGATGTCGTCCTTCACAAGTAGCATCCTCATATCCAGTTTTTACTTTAACAAGTCAAAGTTTATATATATATATGCCGTTCATATGTTAGCCTTTATAGACTCCGTTGTATGTTTTTAACCTAACATGAATCTGCATCAAGGGTGGGGAATGTAAAAATGGTACCACAAGCCCAGCAGTAGAAATATTCCAATTCTCTCTCTATCTGCACATCCAAGCAGTATGAAAAGATCCATTGCAGCTTACATGCTAAAACAGCTATTCGCGTATCCCGGCAGCGACGAACGCTCGTATTCCACCGCCTTAGCTCGAAGAATTGCAGCGTCCAACGGCTATGCTGAGCGTGAGCACATCTTTGGCTCGTGGGTCATGCCAAACTAAAGCTCGTAAAGATTAAAGCTGTAAAGATTCCTTCTGCCTGTCTTTTATCTCCGATGAGTTGAGTAATGCAGTGTGGCGATGTACATCGGGCGGGTTCGCAAGGCGTGGTAAGAGTGGTCGATTTCACTCTGGATAAAACTTGTTCAAAACCGCACGTATGACCGCACTTGCTCTACTCACTTGTTTGGTCCCAAGGAGGGTGATTGTATGCAGTCTGTGCTTATTTATCATTTAACTTGTCTTTCATGCGGGGATACATACATTGGAGAAACAGGGCGCTCTTTTTGTTGTTGCAAAAAAGAGTGTGTGGGAATGGAAAAGTTAAGAGCAGCTACGCCATTGGAAAAACACCGTATAGTGTGTCACACAAGTCATAACAATGCTGACTGAGATGCAAAATGCGGTAAGAATCTTGTCGCATGAGTCTGAGATCCACGCACGCAAAAAGTTAGGCGTTTTGGATTAATGTCAGAAATCCAAAATTAAATAGAAAGGAGGAATGTATCGCCATTACGCAGGAATTCGCGCCTTATCAATCCCTATGCGGATTTGAATATGAGGTCAGGTCACCACGGCACCTATAAAAGAGCTGACGCATAGTCTTGCATATAGGTGGTTTTCTAACTTCCGCTCTGTATCATCCGAGGTTAGTATTGTCTTTGTAATCCTGACGATGTTTTGCGTTAGCTTTCTCTCGAAGAGTACTCTGAGCCTTTTGTTATTGTCTGAGGGAATGTGTTGCTTATGACTTTGATTTCCAGGCTCTGGCGAAGGCGAAAGCGCCGAAACCTTAGCCGCCAATAAAGAAATTGTTAACATTCTTGGAGTACCGCTCACAAGGAATATTTACAACTATCAACAATGCTGAAATTCAAAGACGATGGAGCATGGGCAACGTGCGATTTGTTTATCATGGATATTTGTTAAGTGAAAGGCTTGATTCCTAACACGTAAATTAATTGAGTCACTCGTTTTTTTTTTGCATTCTTACGTCTTCTTTCTTTCGTCTACTTGAGGTTTGGATGGGGAGGACCAGCTTGATTGGTTGAATGGCTCAAGTACTCTGCAATTGAACATTCTCAATCAATTTTGGCTTTTGTATCTTAAAAATATTTTGCTTGTTTCGGTGGTCTACACATTTTATAAGGAAAGCATTAGGATGAGATATACACGGATGAACTCGGCACCCGGGAATCTCGGAATTAGATCTCATTTGAGTTCACAAAAGTTTCGCGAAACCCGATGTCAAATTGTTGCAAGTGGTTAGACTGAACTCGATACATTTTCCTCTAATTCTCTTCAAGGTGTGTTGGTATAACTTGAAGCACGATCGCGCAACCTACCATTTCATGACATCTATCCCTTTACATCTCCTCAAAAAGCTATTTCGAAACGTTCTTAAATATAAACATATCAAATATTTTCTAGGGGTACAAACGTGTACACCTTATAAGAGTAAGCAGTAGGGCACACCTTGGATTAGGAATGAAACATTTATTTTGTACACATATCTAGTCTGAATCATCTTCCGTACAAATCTTTCGTGCTTCTTCCAGGAACCCTGCAAAATTCCAAGTAGCTTTGCTAATATTTTAGGCAAAACATTCGTACCGTTCTTCATCTCTCGCACAATTTCACTCATAAACTTCTCCCATGCAACAAGAGCTACGGCAGGTAGTACTCCATTCTGTCCAATCTCCAAAAGGCTCTAAAAATTTTGATGACTGAAATTTCATAGGTTTTGGTTTCATAATAGATACCTCTTCCCTTTTCAATGATCTGCGTTTTCGCTCACTAACCAGAATGGTATACTCTTTCGGTCCAATATGTTTAGAAATTTCATCCACACTAACTTTTTTGAAAAGCAACCAGTGATCTGCTCCGAAGTTCACACCTCTGCACATGGTTATATTTTGAGGATAGATTATGAGAACTGAGTTCAGTACCTATGAAAATGTATCTTCCCTAATTGATGCGCCATCGTTAAGGCATTACTCAATGGGCAGAAACCTAGCGTTGAGACTGCTGTATCTAAGAAGTTCTGGATTCTGCGTGCCTGGATGAAAGCGAGAAGAGATTTCATTGAGCAAAGTTGCAATATTGCTGAATTACGTACCTGTATTTGAAAGAGATGGCATTGCCGTAACTGCGTCATTTCAATGGCATAAGCTGGAATCGCAAAGTAGGATCGGAACTGAGGTTTTGCTTCAAAAAGAGCACATAGAATATGTTGCCCAATGTCGTTCTGTTTGGCTCTGAAAACTGAAGGTAAGAACATGAACTACTAGTGAAGGACTTTCTTTTCATCTTTACCCCCCATCGGTAAATGGTCGTTTTTTAAAAAATTCTGGAAAAACCTCCGAAAACTCTGAGCCCGGAACTTCGAAAAAAATAAACATGTGAACGCATCTAGCAATACGATCCAGTTACTATGGAATCATCTCAATTTTGCGTGCCGGGAACCTACATTAAAATCGTGTCTCAAATGACTGAATAGAGAATGTTTGCGTTTCGTTTGTTAATCTTAATTCTAGCTATTGCTTTACCATATATTCTTCTGTAGTGCACAACTGAGTTTATTCGCTTTGACCTATTTCAAGGTCTCAAGGGACCACTACGATGAATCAACCAAAATGAAAAGGTTACCTACCTTTCCCAGGTCTTCTTCAGAGCCACAATTTCCGCTTCGCTCAAATAATTTAGGTCCGCTTTCTTTGGTGTGCACCCTATCGTTCCGCGTAACCAGTCGAACAACATACTGGCTGGTTCTGTTTGAGTAATGATATTCTGGGACCTGGAATGAAAAATACCCGAGTTTTTTTAGGGAATTGTGTATTATGTGATTATCATCAATAATGTTTACTAATTTTGGATACTTTGGAGCGAGATTCTCACTCAGATGATGTCATGAGTCCATTCAAAATGCTGAACATAACATATGCATATGTATACTCATGATTGTAAAATTCACTGAACAAGATGAAACGATTGTATTGAACAAATAACAGCATGCAAGACCGAGAAACATAATGAATTTTCAAGGCTAAACGTGATTAGTTTACCGGACATTATGAAAAAAACAGGAAAGCTTCGTCATTTTATGGTTCGAAAATGACAAACACATGTTAAGGAATTACATATGTAATCAAAAATGCTATATTGGATATTTATTTGTAAAAAAGGAGGGGAGGAGGAGGGGGATTAGAAAAGAGATAATCCTGGACTAAAGTAGGTTGAGCTTTGCAGATGCATAAAATCGTTGAGAGGATTCAGGATAGAGTGACTATTCATCAACCCTCTTAGAATGGAGCCCTAGCGATTGCCTAAAATCGTTCGAAAATAATGTGGTAGACTAGCCTGATTGACATTTATGACCTTTGCAGCGATCATTCTCCTATCTTATGGTAAAATGAGAAAGAAGTCAAGAAACGGTTCAAGGGAAAATGCAAAAGGTACGAGCAGATGCAAGGCCAAACATCCAAAGTTGATATCGTCTGCTTGTATTGAATGCAAAGAGCAATGCTGAGGAAATGCAAATGTGATCCATAAAACAGCCGGAAAGACGGGATTTTTCTTATACTGCACAATTTTTGATTTTTTGTCTAAAAGCTAACTTGAAAAGAGTAATAGAACATAGAAGCTCAATTGACAGTCGAATCACGCAGACGAGTCGTAGAAAATTGGTCGAATGCCTAGTAAAGACTCACAAAGGTATAATATATGCGAAAACTGGCATCAAAGAGAGGCATGCGTAGCATTGAATTGTCAAGACATGGCAAACCCAAGGCGTTTCCGAAATCCTTTGAAGGTTCGCTCCGGAAAATTCTAATTTTCAAAATCACAAATCATGTCCGATGATTGACGAAGTATGTTTCACTGGATATAAATGGCTACTTCAGTGGCCGTATTCATCATTGATACCTTGGGGTAAATTCTACCTCCAGGTAGATTTATCACTCATTACCAGCAAAATTACATTGAGAATTCACCTCAAGGTACTTTGTGAATACGGATACTTGCTGATAATGAGTGATAAAACTACCTGGAGGTAGAATTTACCTCAAGGTAACAGTGATGAATACGGCCACAGGTTTGAAAAGAGCAGTTAGTGAAAGTGAATCTCTTCGCGAATATAGCACGGCATAATCAGGAGGGGGGAAAGGGGAGGGGGATAATTCCATCAAACTTCAAGCCTATTTTCAAATCGCAAATAACAGCTTTCTAACGGTAAGACAAAGCTCCAAGGTTTTCATTAATTTGCATTCGCGACTGGAGATAGAGGAATGAAAGTTGATACGTAGAAGTTTTTATTCTTGTTACAGCCATAGATGACAAATTCGTAAAGTGAGACGAACGACATCTGTGAAATTGCAAAACTAGGGAAAATTCTACAAAAGAGAAAGATGAGAAGCTTTGCGTAAATTTTTTTGCACTTATAGAAGCCGTAGCGGACGCATATCGAAATAATGATATCTAAGGGAATGAAACAGACATTTTAAGTGCAATATGTGAAGAAGTATAGGATCGTCACATCAAATATTTCATAACTCGGAAAACTTCTCAAGATCCTCTAAACTCATTCATAGGTCATCCTCATGAATAGAAAAATCACAAAAAATCAAGCGATAGTATGAGAATAGCGAGGAGTCTCTGTGCTTTCGCGAGGGTATAGTAATTAAACGTCATTACCACAACCACCTTCTCAGCTTTCTTGGAAAAATGAAAGCAAATCCAGGATTAATTGCCGATAAGGAAAACCTTTGTTCAAGCTATGGAAATGCAGTGGCGATATGGCAACCCACACGATTCTGACTCAGTTGCCAGTCTTATGATATCTAATGTTTACCTCCAAAGAGTTGACTAGCAAAGCTTTCCAAGAAATTCAAAAGAAGGTGAGAAAAAGGATACGGGACTATGGGATAATGAGATGAAAGTGATTTCCTCAGTCATATCATTCAAGTTCGTCAGACAAGGCTTAGAATCTCGTACAAATCTATATGGTCATTGCGCTTAGCCCAAAATTAATGACAAATATGACTATTTAAAATAGTTTGAATAAAACTAATGCTCTTGACTTCGTTACCTCTTATGGTAAATTAGAACAATGTTACTGAAGAAGCGCAAATGTTTTAAAGAGCCCTCCAAAGCGAGAGCATCTATGCTCCCAGTGTACTCAATCAGATCTTTGTTACCAGAAAAGAGTGATTTTAGCAAAGTTGATACAGGGTCTTGGACAAAATATACTGAGATTGAATGCTTGAGTAAATAACTATAAATTCTAAGGAAATTGATATCAAGTAGATGTATGAGAATGCTTGTTTTATAAAGCATTGATTTTTCGTCCAGACATTGCAAAGCTGAAGCGCTAAATGCTTAGGGAGAATTGAAGGCTTCGTTTCAAAAACCTGATTTTTTCATAAATTTTCAGAACTAAGGACTCTGGTGTGTTCACTGGTGTATGCCGTTTTGCTAAACTGTAAAAGGCTAGATTAGATTCAAAAAGAGCGATTAGTAAAGGCGAATTTTTCCACGAATATGAGCGCAGCATAATCAGGGTTGGGGGGGGGGAGGGAGAAGAGAGAACACATAAATCTCAAACTTAAAGCCTACCCCCTTGCAAGTGCGAAAATTATGTTCAACTCGCGAACACCTTTCTAGGGTAAGCCAAAACTCCATGGTTTTCATTATTGCATTCGCCACTGGCAGTAGAGGAATGAAAGTTGATACAATGAGGTTTTTTCTTGTTACAGCCATAGATGACGAATTTCTCAAGTGAGACAACTGAGTAACTGAGAAACTAAAGGACATTTTGCGGAAAAACTCTGCGAAGCTTTAATAAAAATTTCTTTGCACTATTTTTTTGTCAAAGCTGGAAAGGGAGTCAAATTGGTAATATGTCGGAGAAACACAAGATGTTGAAAGGGATGGTGAGTGCGACCCTGAACATTTCAAATATCCGGAAAAACAGGGTTTAATGAGGTTAATCCTCCCCTATAATTAGGATATTCCTCATAAATCAGAAAAAAATCAAGCAACGGAAATAAATGAAGAGGAAGAACTATGCACCTGCAAGCTGATATGTAATTAAACCCGTTGCCGCCCCCCACCCTCTCTTTCCAGGAAAAACTGAAAGCAAAGCCAGGATTAACTGCCAATAAGGAAGTCTATATGTATCTCGAAATAAAATTGCACTGGCAATGTGGCAACCCATACGATTCCGATTTGATCGTCAGTTTCTCACACAGAATTATGGAGATGCCAAGCAATGTGATGTGCTTGACTGAAAAACTAGCAGCTGGCAGCGTTCAAGGAGTTTCTGAGTTCTTGACTTCAAAAGAAGACATCGAAATGCCAGAATTTTGAGGATTCCCAGGGGCTCCATTGATATAAATGTATTAGAAAATGCCCGAAGATTTGCACATTATTTTTTTTAGGAATCCACGGTTTTCTCCATTTCCAATGAAGATTAGTTCGAAATACATCAGGAAGTGTAAATCACAAGTTTTCTAGCGGTGCTTAGCACAAAAACTGTTCCAGTCTTGTACATTTCTAGGGGTAAACGAAATAAAAACAAATGTTGTGGCAAGCAAAACTTGTGAAACATTCTAGTATTGATATTTACCTTAGAGATTCGACTAAAAAATAAGCTTTTCAAAAATTTCCAAAAAGAGGGCGAGAGAGATGAGAGGCGGGAAAATGGGAAAATGAGATATACGCGATTTCCTGATCATTACTATTTGAAATCAGACAAGGTCTTGAAGCTTATTCACCTTAGTCCAAAGTTGATTTGAAAACTCGCATCGTTCAACATGGGTAAGAACTTCTTCAGCTCTTGATCAAAACTTAATGTACAACCCTGCGTTCTAGCCTGCATCTGCATTTATTGCACATTCCCTGCTTAAAAATATGTTAAAATTGATTTTCTTGTAAATTTTAGAGGCTCAATGCACTGAATATTCAAAAACTCTTGCACTAGCTTTTTCAATCGGAAATTGCAAGAAGTCAACAATTTCAAGATGATTGCAAAGCAAGGAAGTGTTCTGGAAAGCAATTTCTGACCGATAACAACATTTCTCGTTCAAAACTCAATTGTTATCGAGAAAAACTTATGTATGTCCGCCAACTGAAGCATGCTGACTGATTCTATGTGGTTCATAAAACAAATTATTTCGCCTTTTCAATCTTATAGGCGAGCAACAGAAGATAATTTCGATATCCACTTCATAACAAGGTTAAGAAGAGGGAATTCAGGTTCTTTACCCTATAAGAGGTGTTCTGAATTTGTTTTAGCACAGCTTATTTCTGTGACCAAAAAAATTTGCACGGTTTGAGAAATGATTCTTCTTTGCATATGCAAAGGATTCGCTATCTTTTGAATTGCTATAAGCTACCAGATTTTAGTGGCTTCAAACTCTCAGTGAAAGTTTCAAATATCTGAAGCAATAACAACTGGCTAAATTTATAAATTCAATTCCACTTTGTTTCCAATTCAATTCCATTCTTGATTATTTGATGTAAGCGGAAATCAAATATGTAATCTAAAAATCTTAACTTGTTTCTAGGAAGCTACGACAGCGATCTCTGTATGTAAGAAAGTGGGGTTTGCACGAAACTGAACTCTGCAGGAAGAGTTTAGCCGGTTTACAGGGAGCTTAGATTAGCATGCTGCATAGAGTTGCTTCTATGCAAAGATGGACTTCTCAATCGCTTTGAGAGCATTTCAATCTTTGTCTGCTCAGCTCACAGCACATTTATGACATTTATTTCTACGTGAAGATGCAAAGTACTTTCGCAATATTTTTGCCTTCAGTTCGATGAAAAACGTACTATTTACTATGCGCAGCTACTCTGAAGCTCACATTATCCTTTTTTATTTTCATAGTATCTTCCATTTTGCATGTTTTTTTGAAAGTTTTAATCCTCGCAGCGCTAGCTGTCAACACTCTTCCCATTCAGGGATTGAACGACCTATACTTTACTTTACTCATACACTCAAAGCGCACCATAGAAGGAAAGAAAGTACTTATCTCAAATAACTTCAATTTTGACCCCGCCCCCGTTGTGCAGGCTCCACTCCGTCAGTCAGTGGCAAGCCCGCCCACCTTTAAAAAGTGCCGAGATTTGCAAGAATTCGTGAATTTTGCGCAAATTCTTCTACATGCAGCCAGCTGTGAAAATGCCCAGAAAGGGTTCTTCCACATGTCAGACATCCAAAAAACCACTCGTCGTCAACGTGCTAAAAACCTCCAAAGCCAGAGCATCTTTGCGGTCGCAGTATACTCGAATACATCTCTCTTCTTACCAGAAGAACGATTTTTACAAATTTGGCATAGGGCCCTGGACAAAACATACTGAGATTGCATGCTCAAGTAAAAACTCTACAAAGATCTCGAGGAAATTGATATCAAGGAGATGCATAAGAATGTTTGTTATATAAAGCATTGATTTTTCGTCCAGACATGGCAAAGCCGAAGCGCTCTGTGCCTAAGAAAATTGAAGTCTTCTTTTCAAAAAACCACTTTCCAAACATATGCTTTCAAAGCTAAGGATTCTTGTGGGATGATTGATGTATGATGTTTTACTGAATAATAAAAGGCCAGATTAAATTAGATCAAATTAGATTTGAAAAAGAGCAATTAGTGAGAATTTGTTTAGTTCACGAATATAAACACAGAATAATCAGGGTGAGAGGGGGGGGGGGGGGGAGGAACATAATTCAATCGAACCAGGGCCCGG